GCAATATGTTTATTCCTCTCTTTTCGAGATGCCTTTTCATGATAGTCATAGCTACATTTATCTTTAAAGAGTTCATCATACCTCTGTATCAGCTTATCGCAAGCTGCTTACATACTCAGATCCATCCCTCTGCACTAGTTATATCTCAAATATATCTATTTTTAGAGAGCTCATCATGCTTCTGCATCGACTGTATTACAACTGCCTATCTTTCAGAGGTTTGCTTTTGCTTTGGCTATATCGCATCTATTTATCTTCAGAAAACTTATATTATACTTACATGAATGAATCATCCACCATACAGGAAGCCCTGGGACATGCAAGGATGTCATTTACCGCTTCGTAAGGAAAGGGGTGGAACCACCTTAATACCTACGAAGACGAAACCTTCCATGACTGGATCAAACACCAAGGAGGAAGCCCTTGACATGGATGTGTCACCCCCATGTAAGGATGTCAACTTATCACAGTTACTTATATTTAAAGCATCGCCTCTACTACTTATGTCCAGAGCATCACCTCAACTGCTTATATCCAGAATCTCAGCTCTGTATTAGGTTCATCGCAACTACTTATCTTTAGAGTATCATCTTTATCCAAAAGTTCACGTATTATATGAATATTCATACATGGATTTTGGAGACTATTGTGAAACTAGTATCTTAGTATCATTACATTATTACTGCTAGCATATACATTATATTATTGTTGTCAAGTGCATATGTCACATCATCACTAGCATGTCATAACACTATTTTCACTATTGTTAGCACACATGCCACATTATCTACATTATCATTTTATAGAGATCATGTTACTTGCTTCACACTAGCAAGTTTGATATGATCATCATTTTACCTTTTTTAAAGGGGTAAGTGGGCCACAATTTATTTTGTATATTTGAAGTGGTGATATTATGTTATATTACATGTTGGTTTAGTTTATGTTACAAAGGAGATATTGCCAAAATTTTGATAAATTATATGCAATATCTATCTTTCGAGGCAATCAGTAAGCCCTCACTTATTTAGGCTTGCACAGATATTTTTAAGGCAAATCGTAAGTCCCCATAAATTGGAGGTATTTATATTCTCGATGCAATTCATATGTCCTCACATGTTTGGGATTGATAAATATTTTCGATGTAATTCATAAGCCCTCACTTATTAGAACTGCTCTATTTTTTATGCAATCTGTAAGACCTTGCCTACTTGATAGCTTATATTTCAAAGTCCAATCCACGCATGAATGTATGCCTTAAAGTTGAGGGACTCTTATTACACCTATAAATTACGTGACATGCTCAGACGGGGTCCTATATATGTCGACATGACATCAACTTAACAATTAATTGGACCTATTTAATTAGACAATTACATCTTGGGCTTAGATTTGGGCCAATGTTCCTAAACCCACTTGGCCCATTTCCATTCCTCTATATATGAGTTCATTTACACGCAAGGTATGAAATATCTAACTCCTAACCAAACCCCATCTCCCTTATCTTACACTCTATATTTCATCCGGTCGTTAGTTTGACCGTTGGAGTGCAAACGGTTGTAGGTATATTTTCTTGATTGGTTGCCTTTGCCTCCTAATAAGGTGTTTGAGTGTACGTGTAATACTTGAGTGGAGGGCAGATGGTCGAGATTTTGTTGGCCCATTCTTTGAGGTCAACAAAGGCAATGTCAAAATCAATGTAAATGAAGAAGTGTACATTTAGGACCCTTGATGAATAATACTATTCGTAATGAGGGATTACAATAATCACCCTACGTGGTATCCTATTTTGGCATAATTTTGCTTGAATATGGAAATTCATTTGATTGTTTCCTTTTTTTATTTAATTATTTAAATCTTGGCAAAATAGGATGTCATGTAAGTTGATTATTATAATCACTCACTATGAATAGTATTACTCATATGCATAATTTAAAAATTGAAACATCATGAAAAATTGTACAAAGTTACCTTGTTGTGGTCCCTCCATGATCTACAAAAGAGCTTTCTCTGTTGGGAATTTACTTAATTATGAATAGCGGAAATAAAATAATTTTCAATTCCCACCAATGATGTGCAAAGTGTTTAGATAAAAATTGTAATAAGAATTATATCTTTCATGAATTCTGTAAACTTCTTTGCTGATTCTCGAACTCCAATGATCGCGATCTGCAATCCAAGCTGTCCAATTATCCAACCTCCAATGGTGATCCACACAGAGAACAAGAATGACGGTTAGGGATTACTTTTCTTGTGCTAGTAAGAATAATGAAAAATCCCTATAGTTTACAAACCCTAGCAGCCTATTAATATAAGCCCAAGTGGGCTGGTCCATCTTTAAACTTAACCCGATCCAATATTTAATTAATCAAATTAATTAAATACGGTCCATGAATTAATTAATCCAATTAATTAATTCGGGTCGATTAATAAGCAATCCAATTAATTATTTATTCAACACTTGTCATTTAATTAATAGGTAAATCTCATTTTTCTGGTTCTCTTTTGTGT